ATTTTACCAGTTACTAGTAATCAATAGTAAGGTTGTACATACTTCATCTGCAGGAGGGAGATGGATTAGTATTAGTGATGCAGTTTTTATAATCAATGAAGTACCTTCAGCAGTCAATGATGCTATGATTAAATGCAATGTCAATTTAGTTAAGATTAGTGATTGTTGTAGTGAAGCATTAAAGCAATACCACAGTCTCAAAGCGCTGCAACCTAGCTTAGTTAGGTCACACTTAAAGAGTAATGTGCACTCTTACTGCAGTGCATCAAGGAGAGAAAAGCTAGAAATTTTGAAGTATGTTTTAAAAGATGGTTCTTTTCATGATGTAATTGGCCTTCAATTGTTGCCATTAGCGAGTGGCACCTTTCAGCAATTTCAAAACAGGTCTCGTTATGTAGATGATATTTTTGTTAGCAGTTCATCATATCCTAGCAGTCTATTGCCTGGTTTAGAGAGCGAGTTAGTGAGTGTGTACAATGAAGACAGTACATTGCATGCACAACTGTGTTCAGTTGTATCAAGTGGTAGTACACAGCTTCTATTGCTACATACTAAACAAGTTGCAAATTTACTATCAAAATGCAACACGAGCCATTGGTCACGTGATCAAATGTCACTATTTTGGCAGTGGCTTAAAAGCCAGGAATTGTCATATTTTCAATCAAAATATATAGTGTCAGTTAAAACTCATACTGGTGGTACTAGTGTCACTGCACTAGCTAAACAAGGTGGAGTTGTGTACATATCTCCATATAATCATGTAGCATCAGCAGCACTTTTATCTGGCTTAGAAAAATGCGGTATCAGATTTGCTGATGCTCGGGATTTTTCATATTTAAAACACAGCCAACTCTCTCAGTACTTGTATCAGTTTGAGAATGATCAAGTACTTGATGCTATGCATTCATTACATCTTAACAGTGTCAGCCTTTCTAGCACTGAAGCTGTAGCTCTGCAGCAGTTTTTGTCAAAATCTCACTTAGGCTATAATGGAATATTTACACTTTGCAAAATTCCACTTTTCAAAGCTCTTCAGTATAACGAATCCTCTCGAGTCTCCATTAATACAATAAGGTCATCATACTGTGATAATAAAGCTATAGCAATGAGTGGTACTTACAGTTTTAGAACCAATTTACTAACAAACTCACCACTGATAATTGATGTCACTGGAAATGTTTCAAGTCTTATAAGAAATATGTCTGCTCACGTTTATCTCATGCCAGAAACTGAGTACCTCCAGAAAGTAGCATTTCAACAAATTTGTAACAGACAGTTTAGGAACAGCAGTATAGTTCCTTTTATGGTAAGTG